CAGTGTCTCAAGCCTTTAATCCTAGTACTGTAGAAGGCCAAAGTGAGAGGACTGCTTGAGGCCAGGAGTTTGAGACCAGCCTGGGCAACATAGTGAGACCCCATCTCTATAAAAATCACAAAAATTATTGTGTGCTTTTGTTCTACAATAAATGTATGTTAATGATGAAAAAGTTACAAAAATTAGCCTGGTGTAGTGGGTGGGTGCCTGTAGTCCCAGCTACCTGGGAGGCTGAGACAGAAGGATAGTTTGAGTCTAGGAATTTGCGGTTCCAGTAAGATATGATGATGCCACTGCTCTCTAGTCTGGGTGACAGAGTGAGACACTCTCTTAAAAATAAAAAATAAAAGCCAGCAATAACAAAAGGAAATAGAGAGTTATGACCAAGGCAACATTGGTTAAGTTATGGAGCTGGGATTTGAACTGGGGATGTCTAACTCCCAGGCTGTGTGTTGGAGAATGGCATGGTGGCCACCAATTACTGAGGGCCTACTATGTGCCATATAATTCACTGCTCCCAGCAGCACTGGGGGATAGATAGTCTTCTGTTTGTATAGGTAACAAGAGCTCAAAGAGTAAACCCACTTGTCCATGGGCTATTTATCTGAACCAGGATTATAGAAGTCTTGACCCTGCTTAGTCAGTGGCCACTCAATCCGTTTCACAGATAAAGTAAACTGAGGCCTGGTGGGGAGGTGACAGAGGAGTAACCTCTCAAGGTCACAGGGTGAGTTTGAGGTATAATGGGGCCCATCCCAGCACCAGCCAGGAGTGTATTAAAACCAGTCAGCACAATAGCTGAGGGGGATACAAGGCAGCAGGGCATCACCCTAGCTTCTCATTCTAGGTGGTTTGAACCCTTTGTTATCCAGTGGTTGGATGAGAATGAAGAAGTATCCCGGGATTTCCTGCATGGTGCCCTGGAGCGAGACAAAAAGGATGGGGTGAGAAGGCTGACCCACAGCCATATCCCCAGTCTTGCCATAGTGACCTACCTCACTCCCTCTGAGGTCCTCTGGGATCCAATCTGGGGACAAAATATGCCTTTGGGATGAAGCCAGTCTCTACTAGATGTCCGCCATCTTTGTCTTGCTCTCGGTTTTTAAAGTCTTTTGTTCATTCAACAACCATGGAAAGTGAGTTCATCAAGCCCAACCCTTTCACCTACCCCATGGCCCCTAGAGATTGGCTGTATGTCAACTTCACCTTCTGTTTAGCTCCTCCCCCCCAAGGCAGTTGGTCTCTGGCTCTCCCTGTGGAGAATGGGGAGGGGTGGGGGCTCCAGGGCTTCTCCAGGATTGACTTCCTCCTATCTCCTGGCCTCCTTTCCACTACAGTTTCAGCAGACCTCCGAACATGCCCTGTTCTCCTGTTCTGTGGTGGACGTCTTCTCCCAACTCAACCAAAGCTTTGAAATCATCAAGAAACTTGAGTGCCCTGACCCCCAGATCGTGGGGCACTACATGAGGCGCTTTGCCAAGGTGCAGGAATGTGGGTAGTGTTGGGCTGGGAGCTAGGGTCAGGGCTGGGGATGGCTGGGTAGTTGAGGTCACTATTGGAGATATGTCAGGTTGGGGTTGAGGCTGAGATTGGGTTTGAAATCAGAGGTGGGGTTGGTGATGTCATTGAAGTTAGAGTTGAGTTTGGGTTTGGGTTAGGGTTTATGTTGAGGTTGGATGTGAATTGGGTTGAGGTTGGAGTTAGGGTTGACATTAGAGCTGGGTTGGTGATGTCACTGAAGTTGGAGTTGAGTTTGGGGTTAAGGAGATTGGTGACAGAGGTCATAAGTGAAGTTAGCAATGTCATTTGGTTGATATCATTGAGGTTGGTGTCGGAGCTTAGATTGAAGTTTGTGTTGAGATTGGGGTTGGGGTTGAGATTTGGGCTGGGTTTGAAGTTAACAGTGAGATTGAGATCAGGGTTGAGGTCATAAGTGGGCTTGGCAATGCCATTTGGCTAGAGTTGAGGTTGGAGTTTGAGGCTGAGGTTGGGATTGGGTTTAAAGTTACTATTAGGGTTAGGTTTTGATTTTGGATTAAAATTGGAGTGAATGCTAGGATTTATACAAAATTTAAATAGGCCTCAGGGTGAGTTTGGTACTGGGGTTGAAATCTTATTGTATTGGTGTTAGGCCATGTAGACCTTGGGATTATAAGTAGGCACTGGGATTTGATTTGAGACCAAGTTATACTTGTGGTTGAAACTAGATTAATATGATGGTTGGTTGCTCTGAGAATGAGCTGATTCTACATAATCTTTATTTGGTGGTGTCTGTCCTGGATCTTGATGGTTATCCTGTGTGTAGAATTTTCCCAGCCCAATGATCTCTCCTAGGTACTAATAGGTTTCAGATTCATCCCTGATCTCACTAGTAGCTCTAGATGGGACCTGGTGATCAGCGCCCCTCCTGGCTCCAGTAACCTTCTCTCACTCACCCTCTGTGTCTTCCCCAGACCATCAGTAATGTGCTCCTCCAGTATGCAGACATCATTTCCAAGGACTTCGCCTCCTACTGCTCCAAGGAGAAGGAGAAAGTGGTGACCTGTGGGGGCCCATGTGCTGTTCAACCCCACCTCCCACCCCCAGCCCCACTCAGTATTCCCAGGGCTCCACTCTTCCCAGGGCTCAGACACCTATGTGTCCAATCATGCTTGGTCTGACTGTGTTGATAGTATAGTATTGTGTGTGTGTTTAAATGTGCTTGTTTGAATGTGTGTGTTTAAAGTGTGTGTGTCCAACTGTATGTGTCTGAGTATGCGGGATGTGAGTGCATGTGGTTGATTGTGTATTGTCTGTCTAGTTGTGTTGACTTGTATACTGTGTGGGTCCAGTTATGCGCTTCTGGGTGTGTGTGTTTCACGCCATGTTTTGTCTAGTTGTGTTGAGTTGGTATAGTGTTTATATATACGTGTGTGTCCATATGTCTGACTATGTATGTCTAAGTTTATGTGTCTATGAGAGGGTCTCATTGTGTGTGTGTACATCTGGGAGTGAGGTCATACACCTCCACTGGGTCATTGATTGTTGCAAATGAAATTTTCAGGGTGTGAGTGTGCAAAGCTTTGGGCCATGTAGAAGAATATGGAACTATGACAGAGACTACCCTTCCTGCTACTTCCAGAGTTCCCAGTTCCTCTCCTGGACCCACCAGGCCCATGTGGGAAATTGAGACCTTCACCCCCTTCCCCCACCTTGATCCCCAGAGACATCCCCCCCCATACACAACACTTCCAGGAATCTGAGTCCAAACGCCATCTTCCATTTTCTGGTGGCCCTGTGGGACCCCAGACCCTGAAACCATCCTGAGGTCCCTGGCAGTGGGTAGGGGAAGCTCCAGGGAGGGATCCTGAGGCCTGACTCCCCCTTTCTTCTCACCCCCAGCCTTGCATCCTCATGAACAACACTCAACAACTACGAGTTCAGCTAGAAAAGATGTTTGAGGCCATGGGAGGAAAGGAGGTGAGGCAGTGCTCAGATGGGGCTGGAGAAGGGACAGCATCACCAGTAATCCTGTGTCCCCAAAGACCCTAGCACTCAATACCAATAGGCCTGAGGATAAATTCCAACTCAGCCACTCCTCCAAACCCAAGCTCAAGGCTTAACTGTTAATGCCTCAGTTTCCTCTCCAGCCCTTTGGAATCCCTTTCCCTGGGTCAGATGAAAAAAATGCCTAGTTCACGTGGATACTTAATTAACTCAGCCTGATGTCCCCTCCCCTCCCTTAGCTGGATGCTGAAGCTAGTGACATCTTGAAGGAACTGCAGGTGAAACTCAATAACGTCTTGGATGAGCTCAGCCGAGTGTTTGCTACCAGGTGGGAGCATCTCTAGGGCTGGGGGCAGCAGGGAGGGAATATCCCCCAGATCCCTGGTACATTTGGAGACCCAGCATATGTAGAGGTAAAGACTTCAGGCCCAAGGTTAAACAAAACTGAGGGCAAATCCTGGCTTCACTGCTTACTAATGGTGTGTGACCTTAGGTGAGTCCCTTAACCTCTCTGAGACTTAATTTATTCATCTGTAAAGTGGGAATGATAATGATAATAGTACCAGAGTAGGACTATGAGAATGAAATGAACAACACAGATAAATGTTAGCCCAGTGCTGTTATTATTCCTCACCCTTGCTCAATTATGTACCATTGCTGTCTGATTCTGGTGATAAAAGCTCAAGGTCCACTAATCAGCATTTGTGGCCTCATCCTCTGGGAATCAAGGAGAGTCTTGTCTGAGCCCCTCCCCTCTGTGCTCCCAGCTTCCAGCCACACATCGAAGAGTGTGTCAAACAGATGGGTGACATCCTTAGCCAAGTTAAGGGCACAGGAAATGTGCCAGCCAGTGCCTGCAGCAGCGTGGCCCAGGATGCTGACAATGTGTTGCAGCCCATCATGGACCTGCTGGACAGCAAGTGAGCTGGGCCAGGTGCACTGGGAGTGGCAAGGGGTGGGGCCACAGAGACCCCAGGGCTGGCCTGGAGAGGGCATTCAGGGCATATTTGCTGGGTGGTGGTTGAACAGTTTTGACCAATAAGTAGGTGGCAATGTGAAAGGAAGGAAATATAGGTGTGTAAATAATTGAAAGGATTTGTGTGTAAATATTTGTGTGGATGAATGAATGGCAGTTGGATAGATAGGTAACACGAGGAATGGGCAGGTGAGTGGAAACATGGATTAAAAGATAAATGCTTGGAAGTATAAATGGAAGATGGATAGCTATATGATAGTTGGGTAAATACTTGGATGATAAGTAAATATTTTAATGGATGGATATTTAGAATGAGAGGTAGGTAGATCAGTGGTTCTCAACCTGTGGGTCACAGCCCCTTTGAGGGTTGAACAACCCTTTCACAGGGGTTGCCTAAATACATCCTGCATATCAGATATTTACATTACAATTCATAACAGTAGCAAAATTAAAGTTATGAAGTAGCAATGAAAATAATTTTATGGTCGGGGGTTACTACAACATGAGGAACTGTATTAAAGGGTTGCGGCGTGCTTGCTTTGGCAGCACATATACTAAAAAAAAAAAAATTGGAATGATACAGAGAAGATTAGCATGGCCCCTGCACAAGGATGATACGCAAATTCGTGAAGCATTCCATAAAAAAAAAAAGGGTTGCAGCATTAGGAAGGTTGAGAACCACTGACATAGATGGATTGCTGGGTGGGTGGGTAGATGGATAAATAGGGAACTATTTGGATGAATGAATAAATGTTTTAACGCTTGGATGGATAGGGGATGAATGGGTAGGTGGGTGGGGGATGGGTGGAATGAAGGGTAGATGGAAGGATGAGTGGACAGAAGGAGCATGGGAGGATAGATAGATGAATGGATGGACGGGTGGATGGATAGATAGATAGAAAAAGAGATGGGGAGAGAATTAAAGAAAGTTGGAGAAAGGATAGTTTGGTGGGTTACTGGGTCATTTGGTGGATGAATCATGGTGGATTGCCTCTCTTTCAGGTCCTTTACATCCAATCACAAATACTTTGCTATCTTTCCTCTCAAGTCTGCCCTCCTCTGACCATTCCCCTCCTCTTCCTTCTGGGCATGTGGTCTTAGCCCTCTCATAGTCCCTGATCTCCTGACTTCCTATTCCAGTTCATCCTCCACACTGTTCTTTCAAACTGTCCCCATCCTCATTATGAGGCCCAAGCCTTCCTCCCAGATGTTGAGGCCCATTCAATATGGCTTCTGCTGACCTGTCCAGCCACCACTGGCTCTTCTCCATTGTGTATCATATATCATCACTCCATCAGATCATCTGGGGATTCCTGAGCAAGCTGTGTATGCCTCTTGCATGTCCAGGAAATGCCTTCCCACTTTGCCCACCTGTTGAGGGAAAGGGCTGTGCAGGTTGGGGCTAGCTGGGCCCTCTCTCAGACCTGCTGCTTGCCCCCAGCCTGACTCTCTTTGCCAAAATCTGTGAGAAGACGGTGCTGAAGCGAGTGCTCAAGGAGTTGTGGAAGCTGGTTATGAACACCATGGAGAAGACCATCGTCCTGCCACCCCTCACTGACCAGACGGTGAGACCCAAAAGGGACCAGAGGGGTGACTGGCACCACCTCCCCAGTGGGAGCCCAGAGAGCTTGGTGCCTAGAGGCTGGGGGAGGGTGAGAACAAACACGCTGGGGCACAGAGAGGTCGTCCAGGTGCAAGGGCCATCCAAGGTCATAGAAACCACCAGAGAATAGTGGGGCCATTCAAAGATCAGAGAGGTCATATATAGGTCAAGGATCATCAAAGGCTCAAAGAGGACATTCAAGGATGAGCTGGGGTTGTTCCAAGGTCTAAGATATAAAATAGTTAAGAGAAGTCTAACGGACAGAGGTCACACATAGGTGAAGGGATCATTCAAAGGTTGGAGGTCATCCAGAAAACAGGTCCATTTGAGGATAGGTCATAGGGGTTAGTAGATTCATTAAAGGGCTTTGGGGACCAATTGGGAGACAAGGAGGAAAGACACTATGGACTTCAAAAATCAGACCCCAATAGACCAAATGGCTCCTGGAGCTCAGCCAGAGGTTGTGGAGAGCATCAAAGTTCAAAGAGGTCAAGCAGAGGTCAGCGGTCATCCCTAGACCAGAACAGTGCATCTGGGATCCTTCTGGGAATAAATCAGAGACCACAATCCCCAGGATCAGGGTGCTCAGTGGGGAAGAGGGAACTCAGACAACTGTGAGTGAGCGTGGGTCCCTCCAGGAAGTGTTAGGAGCCTGAGGACAGTGGCAGCACACAGGCTGTGGGTACAGAATGGAGAGTGGGAGGACATGCGTAGGTGCACCTGGGAGACTTGGGGAGGGTGGGCAGGGGCAGCAGAGAGGCGATGGTGGTGAGGGAGGCTCGGACTTTCCAGCCTTCCCCTGCATTGGGCTGGGCTAGGGCAGGGGTCTTCTCCTTGGTACCTGCTGTCTCAGTCCATTCCCTGGCCTTCCCTGGAGACTCATGGTAACTTATTCCCCCCTCCCCTACCACCCCACCCTCGTCACGGCTGACAGATGATCGTAAGTAGAGACCCGTCTGTCCGTCTGTCTGTCCGTCCGCTCTGTGTCTGGACTCGGCCCATCGCGTGGCTGCACCCTCTCCCCAACCCAGCGCCCCTTCCTGTCCCACCAGCCCTCACCCATCATCCTACCTTCCCGCCTAGATGTGCCTGTGTCTGTCTTGGGCGGGGCATGGGGAGGGGGCGGGGCTTGGAGGGAGGGAGGCCACACCTACCAGCCCATACCCCTTGGGAATCTAAAGGAGGTCCCCTGCCTACTCCCAAACCCAGGCCCCACCTCCTTCCCTCACATCTGCCCTCGCCCTTTAATTGGCATCCTCCCTTGCTCCCATGCTCAGACTCTGCCAGGATATCTGGGTCTCTCCCTGTAGCTAGAAAAAGATTCCATCTCTCTGACCTCCCCTTTGGGGTCTGAATTGTTAGGGGCCTTCCAAATGCAGGTCCACACCATGTGGGTCCCTACTCTGCTGCTCAGCACGGGACCAAATCCCCAAAATTCCAAGCTCCAGGCGCTGTTCCTCTGTACCCAACTACCCTGCCTACCCCACTCTGACATACACGCAGCAACACACCTAAGTGCTCAAGTGGGAGTCAGTGTCATGGCTTTGGGTACCAGGCAGACTTGGGGTCAATTCCTAGCCCAGCCTCTGTCTCTCTGTGACCTTTAGAAGTCACTTCACCTCCAAACCTCTGTTTCCTCTGAAAAATAGGGTTCACTGCAGCAATTTTTTGAGGATTGTTGTAAGAAGTAAATGGGGCGGTACATTAAAGTGCTCATCTTAGTGACTGGCTCAGAAGCAGAGATTGCTAAATCAGAGTTAATGTTTTTGGTGGTGGTGGTTGTAGGCAGACATGTACTAGAGCAGAGACAAAACCATTTTAGTTTCCCCCCATCTGGCAAGACAAGGCCATTACAAAATTTCATTTTGTGAAGAGTTGACAAGTGTTCATCTTACTTCTCAGGGGCTGCAGCGTACTCAACCATAGACTCTGGAAGGCAGGGAGATAATTTGAATTTAATGGTACTTTCTGTATGCCAGACCTTCTCATAGCGGCTATTTCAGTTCACCGTTATGACAATCTTTAAGTGAAGTGGATATTATTATTTCTATTTTTCACATGAGGAAAAGCTGAGATTCAGAGAGAAGGAGTTGCTTGCTCAAGGTTATGTAGTAAATATATGCTGGAGTCAGGATTCAAAATCAAATCTGTCTGAGTATGTAGCCCATTTGTGTTCTGTTAACCCAAGAATCTAGAGCATCACATGTACAGTAAATGTGAATGGATTATATTTTGGCAGTGACTTTTCTCTTTTCTTTCTAGCTCTCTATATTTCTCTCTCCTTTTCTCTCCCTCTCTCTCCTTTCCTATCTCTCTGACTCTCACACCATTTAAAAATCAGTAGTTGAAGCATACATACACACAATCCCCATGGAACCCAGTCACCAGCCCCCTGTGCAGTGTAGATTCCCCAACCCCATGAGTATACCTGTGAGTATCCTGGGTTTCCACCCTGCATGGTTTATCAGGTTGATCACCCTGTGACATTGTCTCTGCAGGGCAACCTCTTGAGAAAACATGGCAAGGGATTAGAAAAGGTAATGAGGGCCTCATCTCACTGAGGTCCAAAGCTCTGGTGTCTGGGACCTGTGTGCATGTGTTGTCTGTGTGCATGGGCAGGAAGGTCAGCTGGGGGTCAGATAGGAGACAGATGTCCTAACAAGATCCCTCAAAACCAGAAGTCAGAGACAAGGTGATTGTTCAGGGACAGGACATGGAGTATGTGTGCATGTTTGAATAAAAGTGTGTGCACAAACAGCTCCCATCCTCTCACAGCAATACCCACATCCAATTCCTCACATCTCTGAGTTCAGCTGAAATCCTGTAGCTTCTTAAACAGCCCAGATGCTAGATCACTTCCCTGGACTGGGACATGTGTTGTTTATTTTTGGTAGTTTTTTTGTTCTAATGGGTATTTGTCATTAAAGAGATGGGAGCTGCAGCAACACACAGCAGTGTCTTGCTGTAATATTGTGCAGAGATGTGCCTGTATGTGTATCAGTGGGATCCCAGCTTTGTGAATGTGGGTCACAGGGCATACCTACTCACTCAGCCAGCTCTTAGGGGGAGGCACATTTGATGAGCCAGGCACAAGTATGTGCATCCATGTGGGGGCAAGGATGTGTTGATTTATGTGTTTGATTGTGCACATGTGTGCAAGTGTGTAGAAGTGCACTTGTGTATTTTGGTGTGTGAATTTCTCCACGTTGAGTGAACTTGCAGTATATGTTAGTATGTTGTGAAGTCAGGCCTGCCAGGATAAGGTCTTTGGGGCCGGGAGAAGGGGGACTCTGAGCCCCCTCTCTTGTTCCTGCCTCCCTCAGTGTCCTATCCTGGGGCAGGCTGACTGTGGAATGGGGCTGGTGCCAGCCTCCTGGGCACACCCAGAGTGTGCTGGCAGTCAAGGAATCTGGCCCCAAGCCCCCACTGGGGGACAAGGAAAAGTACTAACTGGGGAGGGGACCCACCATTAGACACAGGATCTGGGAGGGAGTCATGAGCTGGAAAGTGAGATTGTGTTTTGAGGGGGCAGGGAATTCCCACTAAGTATCTTCTCAGGAGCCACCAGAACTCTGACCTCCACCTGATTCTCTCCACAGGGCAGGGTGAAATTGCCAAGCCACTCAGACGTAAGACCGGCCTCTCACTGTCTGTCTGGCTCCCACCCCACCCCTGTACCCCCTTCCACGTCTGTGGTCCGTGCCGTCGGGGGGCGTACTGTGAACCTGTGTGTTGGTCTCTTCTTCCTTTGTCTGTCTGGCTTGCTTGTGGGGGTTGGAGGGTGGGGTTGGTGGGTGGGGCAGAGGGTGCCCAGGAGGGCCCCTGATCCCCACTGGACTACAGGTGGGTGCAGCAAGGGAAACAGAGGCCCAGAAAGCTGGGTGCCTGAGTAACTGTGCCTCACAATAGCATAAGCCAGGATGATAATAATACCAGTAGGACTGCTATCATCATAATTCCAAATATCTCAACAGGAAATGGGTTCCTCCCACCTATCCCCACCCAGGACCCCCAGATCACCCCAGGATCCTGTAATGCTCAAG